GCCAGAAAAGACGCCAGTGAAGAAAATGACTCTCCCTCCCCCAGCAGCTGTTAACTGCCAACAGCCACTTCATCTAGCGCTAACTTACTGTTATAAACCACAAATATTTAGAAGGTAGTCTGACCACAGGTCAACTTAACAAAACAACAGAAGTAGGTTCCTTGCTAGAAGATGTGACCTCCCCAGCCATGGGCTTTTGACCAGGTTTATAATACGGGGCACGAATTCTCCCTTGTGGAGCAGGTCTCAAATCCAGTCAGGAAGTGGTCAAGTCTCCCCATACTAGTTGTACGACTATGGCGTCACTGGGCACAACTTGCCCGGCATGGTGTTGGTGTAGTCCATAAGAAGGAAGAACATTTGGTGACAATTCTCTATAGAGGCCTGAAGAGCTCCTTCTGACACTGTGGAAGCTATCAAACAGAAAAAAAGGCTTCTGACTCAACACTAGGTTGATTTGTTTAAGTCCTGCAACCAAAGTATGTGGTGACTTCAGAAATGGGGTCTTACTAGCTAGTTCTGATTGGCAACCAAGAGGAGTGGCAATGGCCTAGATTGCCTGGGGGGCTTCTGTGGCCTCCCTGACCAGTAATGCGTAAGGAAGTGTTATCGTACCCCTGGGACTGGTTATTCCCTAATAACCTGTGACTTCTGGGAGCAGTACTATTCGCTAGCAAAGACACCTCTATTCAAACTTCCTCTTAAATTTTTGTTTGCATTTTCTTTATTAATTGTGTGTATGTGCATGGGTGGAAGCCATGAGGGTAGCTGAGTGTTGGTTCTCTCCTTCTGGCATCATCAGGATTGGCAGCCAAGTGCTGTCTCCTGCTGCTGAGCCATCGAAGCAGCCCAACCGCCCCACCCCCAATTAAACCTTCCCGCCCCCAGCGTTCACCTTCCCTTTCATATCAGGGGTTGAGAACAGTCATTTTTATTGACTATGGCCGCACTACAGGCATTGTACAGGAGGGGAGGATTATTTGTGTATTGACCCAATCATAATACCAGATACATTTTCCCCCAGTCGTCTCCTCATTTTCAAAAGGAAAAAAAAAATTCAAGAATTGAGAAAATCGTCTGGCAAACTGCCAAACAATCGATGAGAGGCAGAGCCGGAGCCGATTCCTTCCTCGCTTCCTGATGCTGCGGCCAGCGCTGTTCTGACTTGCCGCCCATCTCTGCATCCCCTTAGAGTTTTGTGCTTCTGCGGTGTGCAGAGCAGGGAAGCCACAGAGGCACTCTTTCTTTTCTGTTCTGTGTTGTTTGAGACAGGGTTCAGCCTCACACTCACACTCCTGCCTTAGCCTCTGGATCCTGGGATCGCAGGCACGGACACCACACGGCTTACTCACAGAGGCATTCCTAAACAAACATAGCGGTGGTTGTTTTTCACCCTGTTTACCAAGTACTTAGTTTCTTTTTCCTCGTCTATTAAAGAGACAGCAACACAGTCACGTGCCGCTTAATTATGGGGACTCAGACCTTAGATGATTTCATCATTGTGCAGACGTCACAGAGTGCACCGGCTGGTATGGGTCTGTTTCTTCAGTAGCCTCCCTAGTTCATAACACAGTCATTATCTCTATTGACGGAGCATTACACACTACACATGCTTGTGTATTCAATGCTTTCCTATGACTGACAATGTGGTGGTTGGGTTTTTTTTTACAGTCTTCACTACAGATAAGTGTGGAATGTACGAGCTATTCCAATATGAAAGCTGGACTGTTAGCAGGCCACAGGAATTTTTGAGTTCCGCTGTAATCTCTTGGGACCACCACCGTCTGTTCAATCCACTGTAGCAGGAACGTAACTGTTCTTAGCGGACATGCTCATTTGAAGACTAGACTAGGCCATGAGGGTAGATGAGTGTTGGTTCTCTCCTTCCGGCGCCATCAGGATTGGCAGCCCAGTGCTGTCTCCTGCTGAGCCACCGGACACATGACACAGTGTCAAATGAGTGTCCCTCAGGAGAAGTGGTGGTCGTTCAGTTCCCTAGCAGGTTTTTTAAGAGCCATTGCTCACTTTTGACTGGCTGATCATCATGGACTCGAACCTCAAGAGGCACAGGAAAGGTTCCTGTGTAGGCAACAGGACACACTGGCGGGTTTTATTAGCAGGAGAGATGTGATCCGGCTGGCCATGGGAAAGAGCAGAGCAGGGGAAAGAGTGAAAATCGGTGAAGGGAGGGGCAGGAGGAGGAGGAGATGACGGGACCTGGGTTCAGGAGAGGACTGTGTGGTAGGGAGGAGTGGGCATGGGATGGACAGGGCAGCCCAGGACGGCTGCTGGGTTTGACAGAGGGGGAGGCGGAGAGCTTAGGCTGGGCTGTGCAGCCTGAGTAGTCACTCTCCAGAGTGATTGTAGTGCACATGAGAAGCAGGTGGAGGCTACCGGCGGGTGCTGCCCTAAGGTAATTCCGAACATTGAAGAGTCTCAAGAGCTGGTTGGAGGGTCATATCCGGGGACAGGATCTGAAGATCTCTGAATAGTCAGATCCAGAGTGAGGACAGGGCTCGGTGCTAGGGAGTCACGGAAGCTGTATAGGAATGAAGTTCCATGGGGAAATGGAGGCAGGCTGAGGAGTTGCAACAGTGCTCAGAGCTGGCAGAAGAAGATGAAGGAGACTGAGAGCGGGAACTCTCAGGAGGGCACGTAGGTTCGAGGTGAGGGTTTCCTGCCAGGAAACAGGATGGGCAGAAAGAGAACAGAGTTCAGAGGGACTAGGAAGGACCTGTGGATTTTGAACTTGTGACCTTCAGAGGAGCAGATGTTGAAAGTGAATCTAGACTGCCAGTAGGTTAAGGAGGACACTGGCCTTCTTAGAAGAGAGAGATCACTATGAAGGCTTCCAGAGATGCAGAAATCTCACCCCCTGGCCAAACCTTATACCACTGTCCTATCCCTCAGGCTAGTTCAGCCCTCCCAGGCAGGCCTGCACCAGCCATGACTACATGTGTCTCCCTTCTGGGACCTCCTTCCTTTATTGCTAACACACTTGGGCCTCCTCAGATCAGCCCTTGAGGTTGGCCCCAGAGTAGACTCTATGGCATTAGCACTCTGCTTTATTCTTTTGTAACATTAGAACCAGTTTCTTTTCTTTTTTCTTTTCTTTTCTTAAATTATTGTTATTAAGAGATTTTCTATTCATTTTACATACCAACCACAGATTCCCCTGTTCTCCCTCCTCCTGCCCCTCAGCCTTCCCCTCCAATCCACCCCCCATTCCCACCTCCTCCAAGGCAAGGTCTTCCATGGGGAGTCAGCAGAGCCTGGTACATTCAGTTGAGGCAGGTCCAAGCCCCTCTTCCTTGAGAGGCTGCTCAAAGTGTCTCACCATAGGCACTAGGCTCCAAAAGGCCGACTCATGCACTAGGAACGGCTTACGATCCCACTGCCTGGGGGCTCCCTAAACAGTTTAAGCTAAACAACTGTCTCGCCTATCCAGAGGGCCTAGTCCAGTACCATGCAGGCTCCTCAGCTATTGGTCCACAGTACATACATTTCCACTAGTTTGGCTAGTTGCTTCTGTACTTTTTCCCATCATGGTCTTGTTGACGCTCACGGAATCCCTCCTCCCACTCATTGATTGGACTCCTGGAGCTCGGCCTGGCACCCGGCCATGGATCTCTGCATCTGCTTCCATCAGTCACTGGATGAGAGCTCTATGATGACAGTTAGGGTATTCAGCCATCTGATCGCCAGAGTAGGTCAGTTCAGGCACCCTCTCGACCATTGCCAGGAGTCTATGGTGGGGTCATCCTTGGTTAAGAGCACTGGTTGCTCTTCCAGAGGTCCTGAGTTCAATTCCCAACAACCACATGGTGGCTCACAACCATCTGTAATGAGATCTGGTGCCCCCTTCTGGTGTGCAGGCGTACATGCAGATAGAACCAGTTTCTTTACATGTCTTCCTATAATACCAAAGGTTTACCAACTTATTTCTATCCTTGACCTAGAATAAAATATGGAAATATATGCAGTGTGCACATGTGAATGTAATTTAAAGGAAAGTCTCCTGAAACACATACCACGGTGAAAGCATTTGCATTTGGAACATTATTTCTTTCTGTCCTAATCTGTTTCAGTCTTTAAATGCTGGTCCTGGCCCACCGTGTTCATTATATCACTCACAAAACTGATTTAATGAAATATACAGGGATATGGAAGGTTCAAAGCAAAAAGCCTCAGTGTCCTTATCCCTCCAACTCCCTTTGCCCCAGAACCTGTACCTCGAGGTTGACAGACCCTCCCCTAAGCCTTTAATGGCTCTGATAACTGCTCTCCCACCTCAAGCTGCTAGCCTAGAGCTTATCTGAGTTTTTACAGTGGCCCACCAGCACAAAGTTAGAAGCTTTGTAGTGAGATTTGGACATCAAAGGAGAGAAGGCTCCCCTTTCAAACCAGCTGCATAGGCTACTTACTGTTCTAGTAGGATTCTGGCGGCATCTAACAGCCAGGAACATTTCATTTTGTGCCTCTGGGAACCTAACCGTGCCATTTGTGGAAGACATCCCCAGTGTGAGAAGTATGGCCCGCCTGTTGCACAGGCTAGTCTTCCCCCTGCCACTCAGCCAGACAATGGAGCAGGGCTGCCTTGTGCTGGCTGGCTTCTGTTCCCTCTTCAGACCTCCCTGAAGGTAGATAGGCAGATGACACTGTTCTTTAAATTTTTATACTACAGATTCCTTTTGACCTAAGAAGTTTTTAGTCTATCCCTGGTAAAGAGGTATATAAGATGAATATAAAAATCAAACATTTACTGATAACAAAACATAAAGAAATGTACTTAAAAACAATTCCTTAATGTGCATCAAATTTTATCATTTATTAAAGATTAAATCAAATTTTCAAAAAAAAAAAAAAAAAAGAAACACTGAATTATTGCCCTCTTTCAACAGAGACTGGGTTGGGATTCTTCCCCCCCACACACTCCCCTGACCTATCCTAACCACCCCCCCCCCCATCTCATTTACAATGGCTTTTCTGCTTTCACTTAGGAACTGCCAGGATTTCAGGATTGGCCTGGACTACAGCAGGAGTATGTTGCCTGAGGAGTAGCAGGAATCTTTGTCAGCTGCCGAGAGCTGCCCACAACTGTCATCGACCGAGAGCCCTAGAAGTCTTCTGAAGGCCTGCATATCTGCAATGAGCCAGGCCATGAGCTGGGCCCTGGCTTCTCCCTGGTGAACAGCACTCCACCCGTGGCCTCGGGCAATCACACTCCGCTGAAAGATGAGTGAAGGACGATGGGTCTCTCTCTCATCAGAAGAATTTGATCAACTCCAGAAATACTCTGAATGTAAGTGCTGGCGTTCCCAGACATGGGGTGGGGTTCCCTCTCTTCTGGGAGACGAGTCCCAGAGGGCAGATTTAGTGCAAAGTCATGGAGAACGAGGCTTGAAAGGTACAATCACTTGATAACACAGAATTCGTGCTTTCAATATAAAGATACAATCACTCGTAAGCTCTTATAAATAATCCACACTTGCCACAGAATCTGGAGTGCACACAGGAGAAAATGAGGCCGGTTTTCAAACCACCAGTGCGCTCAGCAAGCACTTCAGAACCCACAGCTGTGCTTGGCTGAGTTCCGCACCTTTCTTCCCAGGCCTGTGTTGTCCACCTAACAATATCCTAGTGTTTTTCTCGGGCCAGCTACCCCTCTAAGCATAGTTTTGAAGGGCAACAGGTTCATGGTAAGCATGCTCCATGACCACTGACTTCAATCCATTCATGTGTTTTGAAATTAGAGACTGAATTCTGACTTGTGCCTCTCCCTGAATTTTGTTCTGGAAAGGCCTGGGCTTTCAGTCAGGGCTCTTAGCTTCTCGTTTGCTGTGCCCAAGAACCACTTCGGCATGAGGTCACAGTAGAGCAGATGTCCATGTTCATGCTAGGAACATACAGCTGTGTCTCCCACAGGCCACACCTAACCCTGATCGGTGATCTGGATCTGCTTGGGCTGAGGCAGAAACCTGTATGACCACTGTTACCTGCACAAATCAGGGATCCAGACCAAGTGCTCATTCTGCCTCTTGCCCCAGTGACATCACAGCTTGCTACCCCTGAGCCTCCACATCCTCCTTGGTATAACAAGAGGACTGGACCAGGGGCTGGAGGATGACTTGGTTGGTAAAATGCCTGTCACCTGGCATGGGAACCTGACTTTGAATCCCCAGTACCCATGTGAAAAAGAAAAGAAAGAAAAATCCAGGTGCTGTGGCAGGTGCCTGTAATCCTAGCGATGGGAGGAGAGACAGGAAGATCCATGGAACCTGCTGGCCAGGCAATCTGGATGAACCAGCAAGCTTCGGGTTCAGGGACAGACTCAGATACCTGACATTGACCTCTGGCCTCCATGTACACACATGCACACATACATACTCATACACCTACACACACATGCACACACCCTGAATTCTTATCTAATGACTTGTGTCTCTGCGTGGTCCCCAAGATCAACAGGAACCCACGGTGTACTGGTCAGTCTTGCTGCTGGTGTTCTAGGACCCGGATCTCCTTTCTAACCTCAGTGGATTTACAGAAACTATAAAGTGTTGACTGGGAACAAGGGTAAATTCAATTGAACTCAACCTGCTCTTCAAGATGAAAAGAAGCACAAAGACAAGGCCTAGCCTATGGCGTGCAGAGTCCTTCTCAGCAGTAAGTCCCATGCTCAAGACACAAGCAGAGCACAGATCAAAGACCCAGAAACACAATGTGCTCTGGTACCTCTGGCTAACAGTGTGTACAAAGGCCCAGGAGCCCAAAGAGAGGAAAGCAGTATGGTAGACACTGAGGTGATTAAGCAACAGAAATTGATTGTCTCCAAGCTGTGGAGGCCCTGAGTCCAAAATCAAGACATTGGCAAGCTGGCTTTTCTATCGGTCAGAAAGAGTGGCCTCTCCTGGGCCTGTGCCCGTAGCTTGTTGATAGCTGTGTTCTCCCCCAGCCTCTTCTCATGGTATGTTGTGCGTGCATGCGTGCGTGCGTGCGTGCATGTGTGCGTGCACGTGTGTGTGTGTGTGTGTGTGTGTGTGTGTGTGTGTGTGTGTGTGTGCGTGTGTGTGTGCGTGTGTTTGTGCCCAAACGTCTCCCTTTTATAAGGATACAGTGTTAATGAACTGGATACATCTCACCCCAGCATGACCTCATCTTAACTGCTTAGATCTACAACAGCCCTATAGAAGGTCATATCTTGAGAATCTAAGGCTTCTAACATATGATCAGGGGACCAAGCTGAAGCCACAGGAGAATATCTAGTCAAATGAACTCGAAGCCAAGTCAGAGGGTCCAGAGGGACAAAGTGTACAGAGAGGCAGGCAGAGGTCTGGACTGCATGGGGAGAAGGAGCAGAAGGCTAAGGAGAGACAGAGCTAGCATCCAGCCTTTCATGTTCATGTGGGCCATAGGCCAAGTTGGCGTGCTACAAAGCCATGAATCTGGAGGCTGTCTATAGAGAGGCTCGCATCAGGTAGCTGCTAGGGAGGGAGTCAGGCCTTGGTGGGAATCAAACCTAGTCTGAGACAAGGAATAAGATAATAGTGTGGAATTCAAGGCAATCTGAGGGGAGCTGTGATGGAAATGTTACCTATCAGCATTTGTAGAGCAAAAGAGAGCCAGAGGAGGTACGTCAAAACTGAGCTCTGAATGTGGGAAACAGGAGATCCTAGGGCTGGTGGGGACAGTTTGGATGATGAGGAACCAGGTGGCAAGGGCACACCCACTTACACATCTGTGTGTGCCAGGCTCTTAGGAACCAATGAAGAGGAAGACACAGCTCCTCTCCTCACCAGGGAAGAGTCGGGACTCAAACAATGACATCTCCATGTAGCAGGTGCTAAGAAGGCTAAAAAGTCGCTTCCACCAATTTTAGATGCATTCTGGTATTCAGTCAGATCACATTGCCATAGCAACCACTCTTCCATAACCACATAAACAGGAGCCTTACAATAGCAGGATGATGAAGGAGCAGCCCAAGAACTAAGATCTTTGGAGGCTGGGGAGGAGGTGGGCTCCACTTTCTTACGTAAGGCTCAGCCCTGCTCAGTAGGGATGTCCTTGTTGAATCCTTGCACTTAGACCCAGGAGGAGAGCCTTGTAGAGTGTGGGAGGAGTTGGAGAAAGAACCATGATCCCTTGCCAGGATTCTCCTGAGAGAGATGTCCAGTACATAGAGGAATGAGTAGGAACCCAGGGTTAGGCTACAGTTTTCACTTGGGAATCCTATAGAGACAACAGTAGAGGGGAAAAAAAATGAAAGAATGAAAGCGTGTTAGAGATTAGAGTGTTAGGAGGTAGAAGACAATAGAGAGAAGTTTAGGGCATGCCCTCAGCTAGGGATTCAAGAAGGACAAAGAGTCAGAAGACAGGAGTACTAGAAAAATAACCCGGTTAAAAGAGCCCACGGTGAGTGGGGAATGTCGGCGCACGCCTGTAATCCCAGTGTGGGATGCTGGACAGAGTGCTCTGGTAATGCTGTTCTAACAGGAAAGGGGACAAATAAAACAAAATTCTTGGAAAATGATTAATCTTTAGAGGAAACCTTGAAAAAGTCGCTTCCACCAATTTTAGATGCATTCTGGTATTCAGTCAGATCACATTGCCATAGCAACCACTCTTCCATAACCACATAAACAGGAGCCTTACAATAGCAGGATGATGAAGGAGCAGCCCAAGAACTAAGATCTTTGGAGGCTGGGGAGGAGGTGGGCTCCACTTTCTTACGTAAACTCGCACCTTCTCTGGAGGCCTTCTGGTAGGAGAAGCCCTCTGAAAGCTGCTCTTGGAATACTGATTTAAGTCTATACATATCATCAGTCACACGTGAACACACATCTATACTTGAGAGTAAGTTTAATGGGAGGCAACAGCAAAAGGTGTTTGTCCAGAAGCTAATGTGATGTTAAGAAATTTTTATGATAAAATAAAAGCCAACTGTAGCCCTAGATCTCAGTAAATGGCAGCAGGAGGATGGCAAGGTGGAGATTAGAGTGTTAGGAGGTAGAAGACAACAGGCTACACAGCTGACTTCAGGCCAGCCTGGATGTCACCTGTCTTGGTATAACAAAGACGTAAATAAGCCAATAAATGGAATGCAAGTTCTGTATGTTTCGGTTCAACTTCAAGAAATTAAATAAAAGTGTCTCTTAGAGGTACTCAATCCAATACAGGATAGACAGATGACAGATAGATAGATAGATAGATAGATAGATAGATAGATAGATAGATAGATAGATAGATAGAGATGATAGATAATGATTGATAAATGATAGATAGATGATTGATAGATGATAGATAGGTGATAGATAGATATATACATACATACATAGGTGATAGATAGATAGATAGATAGATGATAGATGATAGATGATTGATGATAGATATATAGATGATCGATAGATAGATAGATAGATAGTAGATGATAATGATTGATAGATGATAGATAAATGATAGATAGGTGATAGATAGATACATACATACATACATACATGCATACTACATACATACATAGCTGATAGATAGGTGATAAATAGATAGATAGATAGATAGATAGATAGATAGATAGATAGATAGATAGATATTGATAGATAGATAGGTAGATAGATATTGATAGACAGAGACAGATAGATACCAATTAAATTAGAACAGAAAATGTGAGTACATTTGAAGACAGTGAGCCCATCCATTGTGCTCTTAGGAAATGAGTTTTCTTAGAATCAGATCAGAGCAAAGTGTATGACTTCAAGCTACAGATACAGTTGCAACCTTTCAGTGTTCCTCACGGAGTCAGAGAACACGTGCAGACTTGAGCTGTAGTTGTAGGACAGTGTAAGGTCCAAATGAGCATCACCAGTACCCTGTTGTAGGTAATGCCAGCCATCAGGGCGTGGCTTCAAATGCTCATGAGTTCTGCCCTGCGGAAGGCCGCATCTAGTCCCTTCCAACTCAGGAGGGAGAAGCCGGATGTCTTGTCACCCACATCTCTTTGAGCTCAGCCTCTTTCCCTCTGTGAGGATTAGGAATCTGCCTACACAGCCTCACAGAATGTGTGACTAGGGAGAAATCTCTTTGGAATAATGGCACTCAGAGTTTAGTAATCTTCTACACAGCTGTTCAAATGTAGATGAACTTTCTTGTCAGGACCACTAGCTCCCAAATAATGACATGGAGTCTTCTTATTAATTATGAAAGCTTGACCTTAGCCTAGGCTTTTCCCGTTAGCTCTTATAAGTTAAATTAACTCGTATCTTTTAATCTACGTTCTTTTATGTGGCTCTTTACTCCACACTGCCCATC